GAGCGTGGAAATCTAGGGTTCAGTTTTTGAAGGGTGTGAATGATGCACCTAAATCTCGAAAAGTAAATCAGTAACTAAATAATTTCAAAACGTACACGTCTACTCAGATCTGATTCATGCTAGATCAGGAATCAAATAGCTGGCTGTTTGATGTGTGACTGTCATAGAAGATGATAATTATAAATATTATCTTCTCCATTTTTTTAATTTGTACAATTTGGAAGGATAGGGTTTGCAGTTCCAGAGCATGTAACCTAAGAAGACACAAAGAGCAGTGAAGTTGGAGCTCCACTACTCTCTTTTGCACCATCTTTCAGTTATAAACTGCGCCTTCCGATGTTCTTGTTATACTACCGACCTCATTTCTTGGGGGACCTTTCATTGGTTGAGAACAAGCCTGACAGCCTTTTGTCGCCATCTTTCAGAAGATATAGGTAAAGCTGGCAAAAGAGTGAAGGCTTTGTTCTGTACAACGCACGCATATTCTTTCATTTCAAACTCTTTTCTGATGAAAAGAATGTGGGCATGCGAATATAGTAAGGAGTGACAGAGGAGATAAACACTAGTTTAATGAGCTTATATAATGCTGGAACTGGGAAATAAGAGTGGGGCATCATTGCGAACCTTTGCGAATATCTTCTTGTTATCCCCTTACCAGTGTAAAAAAACTCCTCCACTTGCAAATTGATGTGTTTAATAAGATTATAGGCAATGAAGTTTTGCTAGGAAGAGGTCCACATGCCATATGGCACTGCCCCAAGCATCTTTTAGTTGAGAATATCTAATTAACTATGTGCTTTGTGACTTTGTTAAGGTAGCAAACCACATGGCAACATCCCAGGCTAGTTCAATTAGCTTAGCCATAGGGTTTAGATAGCAAATTATGTAATGTTTAGAGAATAACTACTAATTAGTAACCATATGTGTTTGCATGTGCATGTGCGTATCATGTATTTTTTGAAGATTTTGTAGATCATGTAATCTTTTTAGAAGAAAGAAATATAGACAAAGGGGCATATGGAAGAAGTTGCTTTGCTTGAATGACTCAGGAATGTGAACATTTTAATGGATCCCAAGAGCCAAACCTTCCAAATTTTCTTTTAAGAATTTATTCTGCTCTAGTGGCTGTCAATTATATAAATGGAAGTATGAAAATGTGAGGTCGAATTCACGGAGCTCCATAAAAATCTCTCAGGCATTTTGAGCAGTTGCATTTGCCAGGGATTCTATTGGCTTCATGAGGGGATTTGATAATATTAGCATCAATTGGTTTTGAGAGAACTGTTGTATATTGACAGTTAAGATACCAAACTTATTAACACCAAACAAGTGGCAAATTATATCAGCATCAATTGGTTTTGAGAGAACTTTTGTATATTGACAGCTAAGTTGCAATTGGTTTTTCATATCAACTTATAGTGTATTCTCGAGAAATTTATCATGTGAATTTAAAACTTCCTAATTTATAGACTTATCTGAAAACTTTTCTAGTACTGGATTGCCGTAATCTTTCTTTCATCTCAAGTACAAAGAGCTCAAGCCACTTGAATTTTCTTAATTTGGCCAAGTTAACATGTTATACTACAACGAGGAACAAATTTTATCTACCCTTTCTTTAGTCGAATATATTTCCTTTCCATGCATGTTGGTTTCAAATTCTACGGAACCATGATTGTTGATGGAGTTGCAGACGATACATAGTTCTATATCTCGCAATTTCTGTTAACCTCGTATTTTCCATAAGTGGCTAGGTTATGTTAATTTCAGTACTCATAAAAAATGTTTCATTTGCATTATTCAAACTGCTTTTATTCTGATACTGCCTTCATTTGTGGCCAGTGTGCTGGAAAATGATTAGTATAATGTGGTTTTGTAGTTCCCAAAATTATGGCGCAATTTGAGGACAATGACCACTTCAACCAATGGAGTTGTTGGTTAGCTTCTTAAACTATGAACTTAATGTTTGGTAGTCTTAACATCCTTCATGCTTTAGGATAAAACTACTATTTCTATATGCTATCAATTGAATTGATTGAGATGAAAAACTTGTCTTTTACTGAATACTATTTCTATATGCTATCAATTGAATTGATTGAGATGAAAAACTACTATTTCATGCTTTAGCCCATAGAGAGACTTATTCAATCTGCAGACCTTGCCCACTGTCTGATTCGTGCCAAATCCTAGTGGTATATTCATGTACACCTCCTCCACTAGATCCCCATAAAGAAATGCATTCTTCACATCTAGTTGGTGCAGCTTCCATCCACCATTCACTGTCAAAGAGATCAAAGTCCGAACGGTGCTCATCTTCGCTACCGGTACAAAAGTCTCATCATAGTCAATGCCATATGTCTGACTGTACCTTTTTGTCACCAAGCGTGCCTTGTAGCACTTAATCTGACCGTCTGGATTTTGCTTCACAGTGAAGACCCACTTGCATCCAACTGCTCTTTTTCCTTGTGGTAGCTTTACTAACTCCAATGTGCGGTTTTTCTCGAGAGCCCCCAGCTCCTCGTGCATAGCCGCTTTTTATTTTGGATCCTTCTTAGTAACCTGCCAATTGTTAGGTAAAGTAACAAAGTCCAAAGATGCAATGAATGCTCCATGTGCAGATGATATGTTAGAATATGAGACAAATTGGGCAAGATCCTAATCATATCTATCGGGAGGATGTCCCGTATTGCTGCGAGTAGTCCTCCGTACCTACATTAGAATAGGAGGAGTAAGAAGAGGAATGATATCACATGTGTGGGAGGAATCTGGGGGTGGTGTGGGTGTCTCAGGAGTCGGGGTAAACCGGGACAAGGGACTTGATGGCACCAGTAGCACTGTAGATATCGTTCCCTCAATCTGCTTCCCCTTCCTACTATACATAAGTAGCTCCCCCTGAGCCGTGAGCCTAACACCTCTTGTCTTCTCTTCCTTCTCTTCTTCTTCATTCTTCTGCTCCTCAACCAATCCTCCATGCCAAGGAATTGATACAGAAATCAATTCCATATTTTTCACCGAACTCTCACCATTCTCCCCCTCTCGCCTCATACTTCCAGTATTAGGTGAGTCACCAAAGGGTGAAGTTACCCCCAGGGTGTAATATGGCTCGAACTCTTGAAAATGCACATCCATGCTCATAAACAGCCTCTTCTCTACATGGCTTCAACAAACATACCCCTTCTGTGTAGCAGAATATCTCACACAAAGATATACTTCACCGCTCTAGGATCAAGCTTCCCAACGGATGGTCTGTTGTCCTTCACAAAACACACACAACCAAACACCTTCAATGGAAGAATCCCACGATTATTTCCCTTCAACATCTCACACGGAGACTTCCACTCCAGCACTCTTAAGGGCATCTTGTTGATCAACTGAGTTGCGGTCAGAACTGCTTGCCCCCATAATATTTTTGGGACATTCATGGAGATCATCATGCTTCTAGCAACCTCTAGAAGGTGTCGGTTCTTCCTTTCCGCTACCTTATTTTGAGCTGGTGTGTATGCATATGTGGTCTGATGCTGTATTCCTTGAGCTAACAAGTATTCCCCAAGTGCTTTGTTGGTATACTCTGTCTCATTATCAGACATCAATACCTTCACCACTACTCCGTATTGAGTATGAACATACCTATGAAAGTCTTGGAAGAAACCAAACACATCACTCTTATTTTTCATCAAGTATAACCAAGTAACGTGAGAGAAGCAATCAATGAATGTAACAAAATACTTATATCCATTTATAGAACTTATGGAACAAGGCCCCCAAACATCAGAATGTATCCGGTTAAATGCACAAGAACTCCTATGACCAGAACTAACATAAGAGCTTCTAGTAAGCTTTTCAAACTCATATGCATCACACATAAGTTTATGTTTATTTGCTTTTTCAAATAGAGATGGATACAACCTACTTAAAACACTGAAGGATGAATGTCCCAAGCGTTGGTGATGGAGCATCAACACATCCTCAACACTCATCTCAGGTCCTACTCCGGCTCTCTCAACCATAGACACCAATGCTGAGTCCAACCCTTCACAATCCAGGTACCACAGTCCACTACTCCACGTGACAGTCCCAAGTCTCCGTCCTGTCCCTTTCTCCTGGAAGATCACCTTGAGAATGTCAAAAGAAATAATACATTTTAGTTGAAGTATGATGACACTAATGGATAAAAGATTTACTAGAAAGGAAGGATGATGCAAAACATTGGACAAAGTTACAGAACCTGTATAATTAACTATACCCTTACCAACCACAGGTTGAAATGTACTATAAGCAGTCTGGATGCTATCAGCCGATGCTAGTTGAGTGTATGATGAGAACTCACTAGCATTCCCTGTCACATGTCGAGACCCACCGAAATCGACTATCCATTCTGATGATCTAGTAGGAGATATAGAAGCAAGAGCATGTGTGTCATCAGTACCTTTGGTCGGATGAGCATAAGTCGCAGTTGTTTCCTCTGGGAAAGAACAAAGTGGATGCCTCCTCAATCCCACTCTTCTTGTCTCCATCACCTGCTGCTCTCTGCTTCCTCCTAAGTACCTCCAGGAGCGCCTGATCCTCCTCAGTGAAGACAACATCAGCTTCTTCCTCTCCCTCTGCTACCATCAAATTTGCTCGGTTGCCTCCTCTTCCACCTCGTCGATCACCACGATCATGACCACGACCTCCAACCTGTCCACGTCCACCCGAATTTCCTTCCTTGGATGACTTAGGACAAGCATGTCTCAGATGACATACATCACCATAGTTGTAGCACTGCTGAGTCTTCCCCTTGAATCTAGTGTTACCTGAGTTGGAGACTGTCAGTGCTGACCTCACCCCTGAAAGTCCACCTGTCCCAGCCTGTAGCCTAATGCGACTCTCCTCCCGTATCATCACTGAGACTGCCTCCTCAAGTGTGGGAATCTTCGACTGAGCTAGCAGCATCGCGGTCCTCTGATCAAATATTAAAGCCAACCCCTGGAGAAACACCATAGTCCTCTCCTCAAAAAGGCCTCTTACTCCTTACACTCTGGATCCTTGCAGCTGGCTCGAGGTAAGAAGTGATCATGATACAGCCATAAGTGCTCCAGCTTTGTGGCATACTCCTGCATTGTCCTATCTCCCTGGACTATAGCATTAATCTCCCTCTTAATATGAAACACCCTCATGTTATTCCCCACCCCATCATAGGTTCTTCTCAGCTTCTCCCAGACGTCCTTCACCTTCCTAATACCGTCCACTGTGGCGGCAATCGACTGGACTAATGAGTTGAGAAGCCAGATGTACACCAATATATGAGTGGACTTCCACTCATCTCTTCCCACAGTGCCCTCATCCGGCTCTGTCTTTTCACCTGTCAAGTACTCCTCCAGATTCCTCTCTACGAGAGTGTACCTCACCCGACGTGACCAGCTCAGATACGTAGCTGGCCCATCGGGTTTCAGATCAATGGGTGGGAGCTCCAATTTTGCTAGTGACCTTGTCACGCTCTCACCAGCCGACAACTTCATCAGCTGCATCAAAGTTGAGACCTTCGCGAGGTTCAACTTCTTGATGATCTCCTCCATCGATCCGGCTTTAGATCAAACACATGTTCTCCTTCCTCTCTCCGAACCCTCCTTACATCCAGATCTGGATCCATCACATCACATCCAGATCTGAGTCTTCCACATCACGGCAAGATCCTCTACTCTGGCGGAATCAGCAAGGGGTGCAGGGCGACGCGCGGGAGGCACGGGGAGGGGGTTGTCGGCGGCTACCAAGGGTTGGCGGCGGTTAGGGTTAGGGTTAGGAGGAAGGTGACGGCTTGGGTTTTGTTGCTCCTGATACCAAATTGAATTGATTGAGATGAAAAACTTGTCTTTTACTGAATACCACTTGGGCTTATATAGAGCCCTACAAAATACTCTTACAAATAAGACCCTACTAATACATATATCTCAACACTATCATCTTTATCTATGAGAGATACTGAATGCATTTCATGTGCCCAACGAGAACCATATGATCTCTTGTTGGAACTTGAATCTAGACCCATTGCCTGCATTGCAAGTTATTTATGTAGACCCGCAACTTTATCTTTTCGTATGAACAATACTAGGAATCTAGAACCATAATCATGGTCTTAGAAAAGGTCTAATTTATCAACATTATTTCGAAGTTGATATAGTCTATAAAAAGAGAATAAAGAAGAAAATTATATTGTAATATCGGCTTTCGATTATATGAGACAGTTTTAGACCCTGTCACTTAATATCAATCATTTTGGCCATGATTCAGGTTTAGAACCTTGCAGAATTGATCATAATGGAATGAAAAATGTTATCAGACCATTGTTTTGTGGATCCTTGAGAAGAATTAAGAATCATCCATTATAACCGATGAAATCCATGATATGCAACTCTGTAGTTATTGAAGAGTGTTCAAATTTATCGACACTGTCTTTAAAGTTCTGATATATAGTTCGGGATAGCACAAATGACCAACAAGTTGGTTTAGTGATGAGCTGTTAATTGCAGAACACAGAATCCTATTGTTCGATTTCTGAAGGGTTTCTTAAATTGAAAAAAGGGTGTTGCCTGGTGCATAAGGCTTCCACTAGTGTGGAGTCTGAGGAGGGTCAGACGTAAAAGCACGTCCTTTTAAATTAAATGAAATGAATAAGCCTAGAACCGTTAACTTTTGTCATATTTGAGTCATACTAGACTAGGACTCAACACAATCCCAGATGTGAGCCACCAAAGTCATGGAAAGTATTTTTTATATTTGTTAAGATAAATTGCGAAGGAAAAAAATCAAATTATTAAAACCCACTATAAAAGACACATAAATAACCTTCATTTATTAATTTACAAACGCTCATTTCTGGTAATTTAGAGTTGACCAGTGACTAAAGGTCATTGACGCAGATTAAGGAATATTCTTGTTATCGGGAGCCTAAATATCAATAAATAAATAACTTCAAAACATTTTACTCTACTCTGATCTGGTTCATGCTAGATTAGGAATCAGACAACTGAAGGTGTGCAACTCTCAAAAGAGATGACAAATTAGATTACTGATTAGAAATAGTAGGGTACAAACTTTATAAATTAGAAAAAAAACAAACCTTAAACTTTCAAATTAAACTAAATCCCCTCAACTATTGGAAAATCTCAGAAATGGTGTTAATATCTAGAGTAACAACTAACAAGTCTAAGAATGTTACCTGGTTTTCATGTTTTATCTCCCTCACGAATGCTGTTCACGCGAAGTATTTGTCATAAACTTTGATTTGTCATACTTCAAACTTATTGCTCTACCTGATAACATCATTTATGGTTATCCAATAGTTTGGAGTTAGTGTAATTTTGAAAGTTCAAGAGCAATTTCTCTGGAGGGTTTTGTGCAAGCCCCAAAGTTTATGGGGTTTTGTTAAATTTGCCTAAATAGTATTTTTCTCCATTCCTATAATTTGGACAGTTTGAATCGAAAGTGTCTGGACAAGTGGTAATCTTCACATCTTTTGAAGAATATGATATCACAAGATAGCATACAAAAGGCATATCATCTTTGTAAATAAGTTTTCTTTATTCTCAATAAAGTTTAGGCCTAGACCTTTTCTCCAAAAAAAAAAGTAAATAATAATAATAATAATATTTATTATTATTATTATTATTATTATTATTAAATACAATACAAAAGGCATAAATAGTAATGAAGTTGGAGCCCCATATTCTTCTGCAGTATCTTTCAGTTATAAACTGACATATGCTTTCTAATGTCTTTGTATGATACTAGCCTCATAGCTCGGGGGACCTGTCATTGGTTGAGAACTCCTCTAACAGCCTTTTGTTGCCAAAATGCTCAAAAAGAAAAGGTAACGATTAACAAAAACTGGCAAAGGAATGAAGGTTTTATTCTATACACAAAGCGCGCGCACACACACACTCTCTTTCGTTCATTCATTCATTTCATACTCTTTGTGATGAAAGAATGTGACCATGAAAATACTAATGAATGCTTGAGGAGGTAAACACTAGTTTTATGAGCTTACGTGGTTCTTATTCCTTTCTTGAAGACAACACCTTTCACTAGGATATTGAGAACTAAGAAAAAAGAGGGGGCATTAACCTTGGCTCATTGCTTCTTGTGTTCCCTCCCAAGTACTAAAAAACTCCTCAACTTGCAAATTGATGTGTTTAATAATAACATTAGGCAATAAAATTTTACTAGGAAGTCATCAAGGTGCCATTTGGCATTGCCCCGAGCATCTGTACTTGCGAATCTTTAATTAATTATGAACTTCGTGTAGATAACAAACCACGTGGCAACACCCCAGCTAGTTCAACTAGTTTAGACATAGGGTTTAGGAAGCAAAGTAATGTCTAGTACGTATATATATTTGTGCACACATGTGCATACGACGATTTCCGCATAGTTTGTATATTTATGCAATTTTTTAGATCAGGGAGATGTATGTCAACCAGTTGAACAGTCCTACGATAAAGGGGCATCTGGAAGGAGATTCTTTCCTTGAATGAGTCAGGACCCTGAACATTTTAGCGCATGCAAGAACCAAACCTTCCAGTTTTTTATTTTTAAGAATTTTCTTAGCTATAATGTCTATCAGATTACATAAAACTTAGCTATGAAAATGTCTGGCAGGACTCTTGGACCTCCGTACTAATATCAAACGCATTTAGAACTGAATGCATTTGCCAGGGATTCTATCGGCTATGTCATCGAGGGAATTTGATTGTGTGCAGATAATTTGGTCTTTGAGAGAATTGTTGTATCTTGAAAGTAAAGATGCCCATAAAAGATGCTCACACCAAACAAGTTGCAATTTTGTAAGAAGAGAAGAACACAAAGGATCATCGTTCCTGAATTTTCTGAAACCTTCTACACATTTTTCTTTCATGTCCCTCCTCGCTTTCTGGTAGCTTCAGTAGCATGAATAATCAAATTGTTCTGCAAAAGTTCAATTTTGCAAATATCCTTTTTGTCCTCGACATTTCAACTCTACGTGTAAAACTTCATCCTACTACATTACGAAGGTGGAGAAAATTTTCATGTCATTTAAATGTTTCGGTATATTAGCTACATGTTACAGTTTTAAACGGCTATATGTTTACTTATGATTTCATCAATGTAAAGATTGCAGGGTGCACCATTTTTTTCATAAATTCCTCTTATTGCGTGATCTCAATAGTGAGCACATTCGTAGTGAGAAATGTCGTGTTGAGTTACAATGTACTATAGAATATGGTGGTGTATTTCCATTTGACTGATCAAGGAATTTGATAATTATATAGATGTCAACTACTTAGTATCTTTATTTGATGAGACATGTATGAACTGTAATTTGTTTTTCAAGCGACCGGAGCAAGATTTTCAAAGAATTTATGAACTGTAATATCTTGAAGCCATAATACTTTATTCTGTTCCACCATCTTTATTTGGTAAAACTATATTATTTATTAGTTGTTCCTACCAAAATATCAATTATTAGTACAAGATGGGTCTTAATCAGATAACAACATCCACTTAAACTGAACTTTTTTTGATGATTAATGCCAGTGGACCATGCCTTAGTCCCAGATATCAACAATCCACTTTTAACTGCAACAATTAAGTAAATTATCATGTACAGGTTCCTAGCAGTGATCAAAGCGTGCTGATGTGAACATGTTTATGTCACACATCTGAATTTCTTTTAGCATTAATACTCTATTAAACTTAAACCATAACATGTACTATTTCTGACTAATTTGAATAGACTTTCAACAAAACATATGGTTAACAGTCGCGGCATCCTCGCATGTAACCTCCTCTTTAAGAGATCCCTTAATTTACAAGATAGAAATAGGGCCTGCAGCTTTTAGTCATTATATTTCACTTATTAGCAAAAGGTCCCTTAAAGCAAGTATAATATAGAATAGAATATATATCTCTTATTTTTCTTTAAAAAAAAAATGGATTTGGAAGACAGGGTCACTTCAAAGTTAAGAGGAAGAGTGATTAGAGCTAAGGGACAGATAATACCTTTTCCTATTTTGCCTACTTGGATTGTAATCACATGATGATAAATTACCGTTTATCTTCAATAAAACCGAAAATAATACTAAAATGTGCTATAATAGTGTTGTTTGAAATTCGTAAGCTGCAAGTTAGTAGAGGATTTTATGGGATATAAGTGTATTGGGTGGAATCAAAATACTGTATCACAACAATTACTAATATTTCATCAGCGCAATCATTAATTTTGCATCACTACGATCTGAAAACTCATGAGACAATAACCAATTTCAAATCTATGCCAGAGATACTTATGATGTTCGTCCTCCTTTATATATCTTTTTTTTTTTACAGAAAGCCCTCTACAGGACTTAAGTGGAAACACTCTGCATGCTTTGTGCCTTGTATAGTATCTTAGTACTATGATATTTGCAGTATATTTGACATATATTACTCTTTCTAAGCTTGACGATAAATGTTTATGGAGTCTAAAGAAAATTTTTAATATATTGTGCAGAAATTTTTTTGTAATATGTATAGAAGTCTGTGTTTTGTGAAAGACAAGTAA